CATGCCGCGGAGCAACTAAGCCCATGCGCCACAACTACTGAGCCTGCGTTCTAGAGCCCATGAGCCACAACTACTGAGTCCACATGCCACAACTACTGAAGCCCGCGTGCCTAGAGCCTGTGCTCCATGACAAGAGAAGCCACCGCAATGAGAAGCCCACGTGCCGCAACAAAGAGTAGCCCCTGATCGCTGCAACTAGAGAAATCCCGCGCGCAGCAACAAAGACACGGTGCGGCCAAAAATAAATAAATAAATTTATTAAAATAATTATAAAATTAAATTGATTCTTTTTAAGAATTTTGTAGTGATAAAAAAGAAGAGATAACGTTGCAGGTCATATATTACTATCCTTGTAAAAGTTGTGAGAAACCATGAATGAGTAATTCTACATTTATTAGCTAATGGTATGGTACAACCACTTATCAAAATAAAAATGAGGTCCATATACATACAAAGTCAACTCTTTATCATAAGTATCACTAGAAACTATAGAGCCCCACATGAACTCTTGAGGGTAGTAAGGCTCTTTAAACAACATTTTAAGTGCCTAGCTATTACAAACCCATTTGATACTCATTTTAATTGCCATGACGCTAATGAATATACTCTGTATTCAAACTGATGTCTCAAGTTCTACTACAGCAGTTCCAATATAATTCAGCCTTAGTTAAGAACGAGTATTAAAATTGCAGGGCTTCCCTGGTGGCGCAGTGGTTGGGAGTCCATGTGCCAATGCAGGGGACACGGGTTTGATCCCCGGTCTGGGGGAATCCCACATGCTGCAGAGCAGCTAGGCCCATGCACCACAACTGCTGGGCCTGTGCTCTGGAGCCCACGAACCACAACTACTGAAGCCCATGTGCCTGGAGCCCATGCTCCGCAATGGGAGAGGCCACTGCAATGAGAAGCCTGGGTGCCGCTGCGAGGAATGACCCCCATTCGCCGCAACCAGAGAAAAGCCCACGTGCAGCAAGAAAGACCCAACACGACCAAAAATTTAAAAAAAGAAAAAATTTCCATTTTACCAGGAAGGAGGGAAAAAACTAATTAGAGCAAACATCAGCTCCTTGAAACAGCAAATTAAAGATTTATATTAAATCATGTTTTCTCACTTAGACATGTACAGAATACAATAATACAGGAAAACTTGCTATATCAACCACTCCTTTTCCTTGCCTCAGCTGTGCTACTGATTAATTAGCCTGCAAAATAGAAATTGGGATGCGAAAAATGACTCAGAAGGGGAGGCTGAAATTCACTTTACAATATTTAGTCTATGAAAAGGATTTTTAAAATACCACCACGCCAATATATTTTAGCTGAAGGAACAGGTAGTTATATATGCCATTTTACGGCAATTGGTCAGACAAGTTCTAATGTTCCCTTTAATCCTCTCCCACATGGAGGACTGACACCTGAAAATCCAACATGAGAGACCTCATGCCATAAATTCAAGATGGTATTTTTCAATGTATGGGTCACAGAATGACGCCTGGATGTTTGTTAAAAGCAAATATTCCTGGGAATTCCCTGGAGGTCCAGTGGTTAGGACTCTGCGCTCTCACTGCCGAGGGCCCGGGTTCAATCCCTGGTTGGAGAAATAAGATCCCACAAGCCACGCAGCATCGCCAAAAAAAAAAAAAAAGCAAACATTTCCGTGCCTCAACCAAGTTCTACCAAGTCAAAATCACGGGAATCAGCATTGCGACGAGCAACCTGAAAATTCTGACATATACACTTGTTTAAAAACAACTGCCTGGGACTTGCTTGGTAATCCAGTGGTTAAGACTCCACACTCCCAATGCAGGGGGCCTGGGTTCCATCTTGGTCAGGGAACTAGATCCCGCATGCCACAACAAAGATCTTGTGTGCTGCAACTAAGACCCAGTGCAGCCAAATAAATAAATTAAAAAAAACAACTGTCTGAAGTTTGGATGAGGTAATATTTAAAGCTATATATTTTTCATTTCATTCCAGTCAGCAAACATTTATTAAGTACGGATCCTATGTGAGTGAAAATTTGATACATGGAGGGTGTCCCAAAAGGCAAGAAGCATATGATAAACTTATTTTCAAGGTACAGTTTATTAAGTACAATGATAATCTGCAAATGTCTGGAAACACAAAAAAGTGTGCTTATTGTGCAGATTAACAGTTCACTCTTTTCTTTTTTTGATTTATTTTATTTATTTATTTTTGGCTGTGTGGGGTCTTGGTTGCTGCGCGCCGTCTTTCTCTAGTTGCGGCAAGCGGGAGCTACTCTTCGTTGCAGTGAATGGGCTTCTCATTGCAGTGGCTTCTCTTGTTGTGGAGCACGGGCTCTAGGTGCACGGGCTTCAGTAGTTGTGGCACACGGGCTCAGTAGTTGTGGTTCGCGGGCTTAGTAGTCGTGGCTTGTGGGCTCTAGAGTGCAGGCTCAGTAGTTGTGGCGCGTGGGCTTTGTTGCTCTGTGGCATGTGGGATCTTCCTGGACCAGGGCTCGAACCAGTGTCCCCTGCATTGGCAGGAGGATTCTTAACGATTGTGCCACCAGGGAAGCCCTAACAGTTCACTCTTTATTTTTTTACAGCTTTATTGGAGTATAATTGCTTTACAGTGATGTGTTAGTTTCTGCTTTATAACAAAGTGAATCAGTTATACATATACATATGTTCCCATATCTCTTCCCTCTTGCGTCTCCCTCCCTCCCACTCTCCCTATCCCACCCCTCTAGGTGGTCACAAAGCTCTGAGCTGATCTCCCTGTGCTATGCAGCTGCTCCCCACTAGCTATCTATTTTACGTTTGGTAGTGTATATATGTCCATGCCACTCTCTCACTTTGTCACAGCTTACCCTTCTGCCTCCCCATATCCTCGAGTCCATTCTCTAGTAGGTCTGTGTCTTTATTCCTGTCTTACCCCTAGGTTCTTCATGACATTTTTTTTCTTAAATTCCATATATATGTGTTAGCATATGGTATTTGTCTTTCTCTTTCTGACTTACTTCACTCTGTATGACAGACTCTAGGTCCATCCACCTCATTACAAATAGCTCAATTTCGTTCCTTTTTATGGCTGAGTAATATTCCATGGTATATATGTGCCACATCTTCTTTATCCATTCATCTGTTGATGGACACTTAGGTTGCTTCCATTTCCTAGCTATTGTAAATAGAGCTGCAATAAACATTTTGGTATATGACTCATTTTGAATTACGGTTTTCTCAGGGTATATGCCCAGTAGTGGGATTGCTGGGTCATACGGTAGTTCTATTTGTAGTTTTTTAAGGAACCCTAACAGTTCACTCTTGATTTCAGTCTAGTAGTTCATCCTCTGAAAAGGTGTCTGGAGGTTGAAGTGTGTTTAGCTTATTAGAAAATGTAACAGAAGTATTGGTTAAAATCAAATTTACCCTATGTTTTCTCATGGTTTGGACATCCTGTGTTTTCAAGAGGAGGCTAATAAGTGTGTGAGGTTTCTTGGTGGCTGGGGGAAGGTACAGAAGGTACCAATGAGGGAAGGGAAAAAATGAACTACAAGACCAGAGGCACTAAAGGCAAACGGTTTCTCTTACCTCCAACCAAATTCTCCTGGTGCCTGAACTGTGAGTTAAACTTATCAATATTTGGAAGCTACATTGTATTTTTTTAACCACCAGAGCAAAATTCAAACAGTAAAAGATGACTTTGAAGTTTAATAGGAGAATGGAAGAAAATAAAGCTGATGGTGCCAAGTTATTTTTCTGGTCAGCAATTTTACCTCACCCCATCCCCTCCAGGAGTGGAGACTGATTGACTGAAATCTTTAGAGTGAGCTTGGACAGGAAGTACTCACTCATGAAACTGAGTGCAGGCAAGCTGCTGGGATTCATTAACTGTGCCTAGATTTTCTATAAACCTTGGTTGATTTTTCCTGGCAGTGAAAACAGGATCCAATTTAAAAAAAAAAAAGATTGTGATAAGTGAAGGCGGACAGAAAAATGGTTGCAGGGACCTCAACGGATTTTCATTGTACATAGCCATGGTTCTCAGAGTGGTCTCTAGACCAGCTATTTCATCACTACCTGGGGACTCATTGTACTAGTCTGCTCTGGCTACTATTACAAAAGACCACTGGTTGGGTGGATAAAATAACATGTTTGTTTCCTTAACAGAGCTGGAGGCTGGAAGTCCAAGATCCAGGTGCTGGCCTGTTTGGTTTCTGGTGAGAGCTCTCTTCCTGGCTCTTCCTCTTTTTATAAGCCACCCATCCAATCAGATTAGGAACCCAGCCTTATGACCTCATTTAACCTTCATTATCTCCTAAAAGCCCTATTTCAAATAGGGTCACACTGGGGAGGAGAACATATGAATTGTGGGGCCAGAATTCAGTCCATAGCATGTGTAACACATGAAAACTCTGGAGCCCTGCCTCAGACCTACTGAATCTGAAATTCAGGAAATGGAGCCCTGCAGTTTGTGTCTTATTAATCTCTCCAAGTTATTCGCATGCACACTAAAGCCTGAGAAGCATGGGCCTTCTGGGAAAATTCCAGCATCTCATTTCGTTTCCTCCAGAGTTTCTCTCATTTTTACTTTTCAACCTTATTTCTTACTGCTCTTTGACATGAACTCTGCTTCTGCTAAACTCCTTCTCACTGTGGCCTGAAGGATCATTCGTATTCTGCCTTTCAGACTCTTGTTTCCTCTTTCCATGACCTTGAATTGTCTTTCGACCTCTTTAACGAAGCACCTCTTTAACATCCCGGCCACAGTCATGTCTTCTTTCTCCAGATAGCATAAGCACCACTTGTCTGAACCAATCATTTTCCTATTTTACAGATTTTACTTTCTTAGAGTTCATAGGTTACACTTGTTTGTAATTTTAGCACAAGGCTTTGCACATAAAAAGTACTTAAGGGCTTCCCTGGTGGCGCAGTGGTTGAGAGTCCGCCTGCTGATGCAGGGGACGTGGGTTCGTGCCCCGGTCCAGGAAGATCCCACATGCCGCGGAGCGGCTGGGCCCGTGAGCCATGGCCGCTGAGCCTGCGCGTCCAGAGCCTGTGCTCCGCAACGGGAGAGACCACAACAGTGAGAGGCCCGCGTACCGCAAAAAAAAAGTACTTAAATCTTCAAAATATTATAGACTGTCCCGCTTATAACTCTTCTCTGTAAGCGACTCCCTACAACACTGGCTCCAATACAACACTGATTTGGGGCATCAAACAGCCCATTGGTCTCTGACATAATGCTACTTCCGAAGTTGCTTACTATTAAAAAGTAATCAATATATTATTTGCTATTTATTAAGTCCTTAAGTGCATCAAGCCCTATAATAAGCACTTAGTACAGTACCTCATTCAATTCTCACAATCACCCTGAAATAGGCATTATGATCCTTATCTGACTGAAAAAGACACTGGAAACTGAGGCAGAGAGTTCAAGCAACTCCCCCAAAGTCACATACCCAAGGAGCAGCAAGGCTGAAAAATGTGAACCTATGTTTCTCTGACTCAGAGCATATGCATTATTTCCACTGTGTTATACTAGAGACAGAGAGATTTAGTTTTCTGTCATCGCATTGAATTTACTGCCAAGAACCCCAGAGGTATAGGTCTTGTATTAAAGATAATTCCAGGATACCCTTTGTAAACTCTCTATTTTCTACATTCGTAGCATACACACACACAAACACACATCCTGAAGCACTGCTAAAAGTAAGCCATCATGAAAAAAAAATTGGGGGAGGACTTCTTGACCAACAGATACTGTTAAATGACTACAGACAACAAAGAGCTCTCAATTCCGTCGCTATTCTATATGCTATTTACCAGCGGACAGACTTTGGAATTCTTTCATCTTTACATTGAAGACAACTGAAGAACTCAAAGGGAACTACTTGAAAGCTCACAAGGAGCTCTGATAAACTTTTGCCCAAAGCTACTACTGATAATTAAACACTAGAAGCACACACACACACATATATGCATAGAAAATTGAAAAAAATCTATAAAAACAATGGAAATTTTTTTTCCAATGGTAAGTTCTTAGCTTCCTTCCCCAGAAAACAGACCAAGGGGTTGTACTTCACTTTCACAGCTACCAGCACTTTGAAGACTGGCCTATTAAGAGAATAAGTCACACCTGCTGGATTGTTTCCATCATTCCAACCACCAGCTGAGATAGCAATGAACAGTAACCCTGCCGTGCTCAGCCTACCTGGGGGGTTCCACAACCTCGACATCTTGCAGAAACAGGTGACATCCTGCCCACATGGAGGTGCTGAAAATGAGCTGAGTATCTTTCTGGGTTGTAGCACACCACCACCGTCTGTGTCTGCAAATCGTAAGACACGATGGTCCATACTTTGTCCTCTGTGGGGAGAAAAATGCCGCGACGATGGGTCATTAGTATGCAACTGCATCTTCAAATGTCAGAAAATAAGTGAGCTACACTTTCACTGGTGTTTTCCCTGAACTGCTGTAGAATAGTTAAGGACAGTAACTCTTCAAGTAACCCCTACCGTTTTCTCACACCGAAGTTCTGTTTATATAGACAAAGTAGAAAAGTCATATTGTTTATTAAAAACAAACACAAGATCTGGCGGATGCTCTAACATCCACAGCATTGAATGTGAGGCCCATTGTGTTGCAATGCCTTCCGACGCTGGAACCCCTCACCCCTCCCGTAGAACAGGACCTGCTCCTTCCTAAATGAACTATGTGCTCTCCAGCCTCTGGATCTTTGTACATGCTCTTTGCTCTAACCGGAATATGCATCCTCACCTTGTCAACAACTGTTCTTTTCACCCTGACCTTTCAGATAAAATTAGACACTGCATGCTCTGTTATTGAAATGTTCTACACATGTGGGATGATGCAGATAATTATCTTGGTGTTTTGGACCCTGAAAATTTCAATGTGTGAAAAGAAGCAGATATAAGACTGATGAGGTCGAATTAAAATCCTACATAGTTCTGCATTTGAATTAGAAGTATCACTGTAAACGCTTGATGATGTTATCTTTTAAAAATACAGATATAGGGCTTCCCTGGTGGTGCAGTGGTTGAGAGTCCGCCTGCCGATGCAGGGGACACGGGTTCGTGCCCCAATCCGGAAAGATCCCACATGCCGCAGAGCGGCTGGGCCTGTGAGCCATGGCCACTGAGCCTGCGTGTCCGGAACCTGTGCTCTGCAATGGGAGAGGCCACAATAGTGACAGGCCCGCATACCGCAAAAATAAAATAAAATAAAAATAAAAATACAGATATAGGTCCTAGCTCTGTCCACTGAAAAAGTCCCCAAACAAGGACCAACCTCTGGCACCAGATTGTTATCACTCCATACCATTTCCCTTTAAGAGAAAACTAGGTTCCTGGAGAAATGGTTGATTCCAGGGCTGGAAAGGGATAAGAGGAGCCTGAAACATATTGTCACATCAGAAACAAATAAACTACTGGAGACAGAAGGCTGTTCCAAAACCCCCAGGGCCAAAGAAGGATGATTTTAATTAACATCAATCAGAATTTCCTGTAATGAATTAAAATACATCAAGGAGGGCTTCCCTGGTGGCGCAGTGGTTAAGAGTCCGCCTGCCAATGCAGGGGACCCGGGTTCGTGCCCCGGTCCGGGAAGACCCACATGCCACAGAGCGGCTGGGCCCATGAGCCATGGCCACTGAGCCTGTGTGTCCGGAGCCTGTGCTCCGCAACGGGAGAGGCCACAACAGTGAGAGGCCTGCGTACCGAAAGAAAAAAAAAATACATCAAGGATATTTAATTCTATGAGTTCACTGAAAATAAAAGAAATGTTTAACTTCGTAAGATGCTAGGCAACTAACACATTATTTTGAATACCAGTAAATGAAGGCAAAAATTCAGCATTTAGTCTACATTACCTATATGAACTGTAATATAACTAAATACTCCCTTTATGGAAATATTTCAGCTCATAAATGAAGGTAAATGATAAGTTAGAGTGTCATCATTTTGTAACTGTTACCGAGTCCAAGCTCCCCTGCTCGCCACATGACAGGCCAATAAATCAAAGAGTAGGTGTTGAGGTAGGGAATACTTTATTTGGAAAGCCAGCAGGCCTTGTAGATGACAGACTAAAGTTTCAAAATTACCATCTTCTCCGGGTTTGGATGTCAGTTTCTTTTATAGCACAGAGAGGGGGAGGCAATGAGGAAGTAAAGTAAAAAGGCCATAAGATTTGTAAATATCACCTGGAATGGCCAGCCTGGGGGAGGTGATGTGTTAATTTCTTGATGTGTTAATTTCTCGTTCCTTGCAGCCATCCGCAGGTGGAACAGGGTCCGGATGTTTCCCTGAACAAAGGTACTTTGGTTTAACATTCAGGCAGAGGGGCAGGGTTCCCCGAGGCAGGCCATTATGTGTACACAGTATCCTTTTACTGAACAAAAGCAGCGCAAAGCAAAGGTTAAAGTAAAAGAAACAGATCCAACATGTAGTCAGATTTGGCTCTTTCCTGTTACAATTCCCCACTGTCAATGTCCATTTCACAGTCTTGTGGAAAAAGGGGTGACGACCCAGAAAAAGAGCTCCCAGAGAATTTGGCTTTGAAGGCCAGTGAGGCTTAATTTCAGGAGTCCCAGAGGGTTGGGGGAAACAGACTTCCCTCTCAATGGGCACACACAAAAATCTCACAGGCTCTGGGATGGAGGGAAGAAGCAGTAATATGATAGGAACATGGGTCAGACCTACTTGCTGATCTTGGAGAGTCTCCCAGAGAGGCAGGAGGCAACTACAGCTCACCCTGGGGACACAGACACTGACTACAGCAATTTTAGGGAGCTTGTTCTACCACATGGACACTGGTGCTGACAAATGCCACTTTGGAATCCTCCTTCTAGCTTATAGCCCCAATACCCAGCCCTGCCCAGACCAAACAGCATATAGGTGCCAGTGCTGGGACGCCTCAGGACAGGCAACTAACACGGCATGGACACAGCCTCACACACTGGCAGGAAGACTGCCTTATGACCCTGGGAGTCCACAACCATCCCTGGACATGATCCTGTCCAACAGAGGGCCCAGGACCCGGCCCCATACTCCAGTGCACAGGCACTAAATCCAACTCGAGACCCTCGGGGCCCTCTAGCCAGAGAACCTGGGACCCAGCTCCAACCAACAGTGGGCAGGCACCATCCCCAGAATCCACGGGCTTGAGCCACACACTCTAGGGAACCTGCTCTAGCCTCAGGACCAGCTTCCCTAGTGGATGGACACCAGCCATAAGAAAACCACAGCCCTGCCGTCTATGGATCTGGCCCACCCACCAGGAGGCCAGATCATGCCCTGGGACTGGCTGGGCCCCAGCGCCAGCCACCAGCAAGCCTGCTCTAGCCTCAGGCCCAGCTTCACCCACCAGTGGGCAGACACCAGCTGCAAGAAAACTATAGCCCCACGGCCTACAGACGCAGCCTGCCCACTAGCAGGCCAGATCCTTCCCTGGAGACCAGCTGGGCCCTGGCCCCAACCATTAGCAGTCCAACAGAAGGATCGAGACACCCTGGGCCCTGCAGCCAACTGTGTGAGAAAGCAGCCTCACCCACCAATGATAAAACACAAGTTCTGGGACCCCTGGGACCTGCAACCAGACTCCAGGACCTGGCTTCACCCACAGTGGTTGGGCAACAGCCCTGAGATTTCCTGGACGCTGACTCCACCCACCAGTAAGGCAGCACTAGTCCCCCCACCCCGGGTTTCTGCAGTAAGCCACCGCCTGACACAGTTAACAACCCATAGCTAGCCAGAAGCCTCTGCACAAGGCAGGACTCAGCAACCAACAAGTCCAGGGGCAAAGCAAGCCTACCAGACCACCCATATGATGAGCCTACCATGACAGGAAGACCCACGCAGCCCTCACAGGGGAATCCTCTAGAGCATAAAGCTCTGGTGATGAGAGGGGAGTGCACTACTGGGACACACAGGATGTCTCCTGCAAAAGGCCACTTCTCCAATGTTAGGAAACAAACATAACCAATCTATAAGATACATAAAAATATAAACAGCAAATGAGGCAAAATGAGGCGACAGAGGAAGCTGCTCCAAACAAAGGAACAAAATAAAACCCCAAAAGGAGAACTAAGTAAAGTGGAAATAAGTAATCTACCCAAGAAAGAGTTCAGGGTAGTGATGATAAAGATGACCAAAGAACTCGGGGGAGGAATGGATGCACAGATGAGTCAGACATTTTTAACAAAAATTTAGAAAATATAAAGAACAATCAGAGGTGAACAATAAGATAACTGAAATGAAAAACACCCTAGAAGGAATCAACTGTAGACTAAATGATACAAAGGAATGTATCAGTGAGCTGAAAGACAGAGTAATTGAAACCACTCATACTGAAAAGAAAAAAGGAAGGAAAAGAAATGAGAACAGTTTAAGAGACCTCTGTAAGAACATCAAGCACACTAATATTTGCATTATAGGGGATGCAGAAGAAGAAGAGAGAGAAAAGGAGGCTGAGAACATAACTGAAGACATAATACATGAAGACTTCCCTAACCTGGGATAGGAAACAGACATCCAAGTTCAGGAAGTGCAGAATGTCCCATACAGGATTACCCACAGAGGAAGACATGAAGACACATTGTATATTATTTTTTTTAATATTTATTTATTTGGCTGCATCAGGTCTTAGTTGCGGCCCACAGGGTCTTCATTGCAGTGTGTGGGCTTCTCTCTAGTTGTGGCACACAGGCTCCAGAGTGCACAGGCTCAGTAGTTGTGGTGCACAGGCTTAGTTGCCCTGTGGCATGTGGGATCTTAGTTCCCCGACCAGGGATCAAACCCACGTCCCTTGCATTGGAAGATGGATTCTTAACCACTGGACCACCAGCGAAGTCCCCACATTGTATATAAAAATGGCAAAAATTAAAGAGAGAATGTTAAAAGTAGCAAGGGAAAAGTAACACAGTACTTACAAGGGAACTCCCATTAAGGCTCTCAGCTGACTTTTCAGCATAAACTCTGCAGGTCAGAAGGGAGAGGCATGGGCTTCCCTGGTGGCACAGTGGTTAAGAATCCACCTGCCAGTGCAGGGGTCACAGGTTCAAGCCCTGGTCCAGGAAGATCCCACATGCTGAGGAGCAACTAAGTCCATGCACCACAACTACTGAGCCTGTGCTCTAGAGCCCACGAGCCACAACTACTGAAGCCCATGTGCCACAACTACTGAAGATGTGCCTAGAGCCTGTGCTCTGCAACAAGAGAAGCCATGGCAATGAGAAGCCCATGCACTGCAACAAAGAGTAGTGGCCCCTGCTTGTCACAACTAGAGAAAGCCCTCATGCAGCAATGAAGACCCAGCCCAGCCAAAAATAAATAAATAGAAAAGGAAAAAAAAAAAAAGAAGGGAGTGGCACAACATATTCAAAGTGATGAAAGGGAAAAAAAAACCTACAACCAAGTATACTTTAACCAGCAAGGTTCTTGATCAGATTGATAGATCAAAAGCTTCACAGACAAGTAGAAACTCAAAGAGTTCAGAACCACCAAACCTCCTTTATAAGAAATGCTAAAGGAAATTATCTAAGCAAAAACGAAAAGGCCACAACTAGAAACATGAAAATTATGAGAAGAAAAAAGCTCATTGTTAAAGGAAAACATATAGTAAAGGTAGAAAATCATCCATGCACAAATCTAGTAGGAAAGTTACATTTTCAAATGTAGTGAAATCATCTATATTGACAATAAACAGTTAAGGGATACACAGAACAATTAGATGTAAAATGTGGTATCAAGACAGTAATCATGAGAGGCTAGAACAAAGGCAGGCTTGTGAAAATGCATTTGAAATTACGAGATCAGCAATGTAAAATAATCATAGATACAGATATATAGATTGCTATATATAAGCCTTATGATAACCACAAACCAAAAATCTATAATAGACACACACACACAAAAGTAAAAGGAATCCAAACATAACACTAAAGATAGCCATTAAATCACAGGAGAAGAGAACAAAAAGAAGGAACAAAAAAGACCTAGAAAACAATCCCCAAACAATTAACAAAATGGCAATAAGAACATACATAGTCCATTGATGGACTAAATGTTCCAATCAAAAGACACAGAGTGGCTGAATGGATACAAAAATAATACCTGTATGTATGCTGGCTGCAAGAGACACACTTCAGATCTAAAGACATAACACTGACTGAAAGTGGAGGGATGGAAAAGGTATTCCATACAAATGGAAATCAAAAGAAAGCCACAGGGCTTCCCTGGTGGTGCAGTGGTTAAGAGTCCGCCTGCCGATGCAGGGGACACAGGTTCGTGCCCCGGTCTGGGAGGATCCCACGTGCCATGGAGCGGCTGGGCCCGTGAACCATGGCTGCTGAGCCTGCGCACCTGGAGCCTGTGCTCCGCAATGGGAGGGGCTGCAGCGGCGAGAGGCCCACGTACCACAGGGAAAAAAAAAAAAAGAAAGCCACAGTAGCAATACTTATATCAGACAAATTATCCTTTAAAATAAAGATTGTTAAAACAAACAAAGAAAGACACTACATAATGATCAAGGGATCAATCCAAGAAGAAGTTATAACAATTGTAAGTATTTATGCACTTAACATAGGAGCACCTAAATACATAAAGCAAATATTAACTGACATAAAGGGAGAAATTGACAGTAACACAATAAAAGCAGGGAATTTTAAAACCCCACTTATAACAATGGACAGGTCGTCCAGACTGGCCTTAAGTAACACATTAGACCAGATGGAGACGATATATATATGGCACATTCCATCCAAAAGCAACAGAATACACTTATACACTTCCTTTTCAAGTGCACATGGAAATTTCTCCAGGATAGATCACATGCTAGGCCTCAAAACAACCCTCAGTAAATTTAAGTAAATTGAAATCATATCAAGTATCTAAACACAATGCTAGGAGACTACAAATCAACTACAAGAAAATAACTGCAAAAAACACAAACACGTGGAGGCTAAACAATATGCTGCTAAACAACGAATGGATCACTGAAGAAATCAAAGAGGAAATTTAAAAACAGCTAGAGACAAATGAAAATGAAAACACAACGATCCAAATCTATTGGACACAGCAAAAGCAGTTCTAAAAGGGAAGTTTACAGTGATACAAGCTTACCATAGGAAACAAGAAAAATCTCAAATGAACAACCTAACCTTACACCCAAAGGAGCTAGAAAAAGAACAAAGCTCAAAGTTAGTAAAATAAAAAAAAAAAATCATAAAGATTAGAGAAGAAATAGAGAATAAAAATCAATAGAAAAGATCAATGAAACTAACAGCTGGTTCTTTGAAAAGATAAAACAAAATTTAGCCAGACTCATCAAGAAAAAAAAAGAGAGGGAAGGCCCAAATCAATAAAATCAGATATGAAAAAGGGGAAGGTACAACTGACACCACAGAAATACCAAAGAGCCTGAGACTACTATGAACAATTATATGCTAATAAAATGGACAACCTAGAAGAAATGGACAAATTCTTAGAAATGTACAATCTCTCAAGACTGAATGAGGAAGAAATAGAAACTATAATCAGACAAATTACCAGTAATGAAATTGAATGTTATAAAACAAAAACAAAAACTTCCAGCCACTGAAAGTCCAGGAGCAAATGGCTTCACAAGTGAATTCTACCAAACTTCAGAGAAGAGTTAACACCTATTCTTCTCAAACTATTCCAAAAAAATTGCAGAGGAAATTGCAGAGTCAGGAATTACAGGGTTGGGGGAAATGGGTGCAGGGTCATGAGGACATTAAGGACATTTGATAACTGATGACTGGAACATTTGAGGCATTAGACATACAGGACATGAGAAATGGGCTGAAGTCATTGGAATGAGGGGAGGATAAAGGGCAAGGGAGAAGGAGGATACAAAGGATAAAAGGCTTGGGAACAACAGAAGGGGAGGAGGGTTGGGCTGAGAGCTCTGGAATCTGGGGAATAGAGGTTTCATGGGGATGGAGGTCTAAAATGCACAGGATGGACATGGGAGAGAAATAAAGAAGCCTAGAAGGCAAATAATTAGTTCTAGAGATATCTAAAGGTCACAGAGATGGAGAGATTGAGGTCACAGTGAGGAATAGAGAATGATGGAGTAGAGGGATGGAGGTGGGGTGATGGTAGCTGCAGCGGGTGGATTGAGGGTCACTAATTTTTTCTCCTATTCACTAATTCCATGATTTGCATTCAAATCATAACCTAATCGTGAATAGTTTCTAATTTGGGATCTCGAGATAATAACCTTACTTACATAAAATATTTGTGATGATTCCTTCAACTGAATACACAGTAAAGGATTAGAGAAAAAAATAAGTAAACAATGACACATTATTTCTTCTCTCCTTTAGGGACACCGGATGCAAGGTGTGACCATGGAAACTACCAGAATGAAATGGATTCCGCCTGGCACCTGAATGGTCCTAAAAGTGGATTCTCCCCTGGAAGCTGCAGATAAGAACGAATGCCTCATGAAACCCTGATTTCTGACCTTGTAAGAACCTAAACAGAAATCCCAGCTAAGACTACTGGATTTCTAACTTATGCACTGTAGGATGTTTTCTATTTTTTTTATTTTTAAAAAATATTTATTTATTTGGCTGCACCGGGTCTTAGTTGCAGCATGTGGGATCTAGTTACCTGACCAGGGATGGAAACTGGGCCCCCTGCATTAGGAGCACAGAGTCTTAACCACTGGACCACCAGGGAAGTCCCTATAGAATGTTTTTTAAACTGCTAAATGTGTGGTCATATGTTATTGCAGTGATAGAAAACTACTTCGCACAGGGACAAATTTAATTATAAAATAATAAACATTATAAAATATAAAATTATAAAATATTCAAACAATAAAATAAGTAAAAATGCCCAATAATTAAGCACCCCCAGAAGCAATAAAAGTTTTATCTCCAGAGGTAATATCATCAGTTCCAAGTATATCCTCCTTAATATACAATTTCCATGTGTAACAAAAATATCCACACATAGACAAATGCTAAAATATTATGTACATAGTTCAATATTTACATAGATATTGTCAAATCAAACTTTCTGTCAATCAAATTGCTTTCCTTAACCAATCATATATGAAGGTGATATTTTCACACCAGTAGAAATGGATTTCCTGCATTCCCAGAGACACAACATCATATTCCATGGTAATTATGAATAGAATGACTTTACTAAAATACTCCCCTAATTACGCATTTACATAGCTGCATGTGTTTTTCTCCTGTTATCACAGAATGTGGATCTTCGATTTCTACATATGTGGCTTATCTGGGTGGTTCTGGGACATGAAATTGTTGCACCAACATGACTGTGCATTCCTACATTAGGTAGACAATTGCTAAATTACCATGCAAATGGATGAAAAGTATAATTTCTCACCTACTGCATATCTAGTGTTAAAGCAATTAAACAAGGAGACCATTAGGCTGAGGTGAGTCTAATGCTTTGGTAGCCTATTTAAGCAAACAAAATTTAATACAGAGTCAAGGCACCTTAATCTAAGAAAATAAATTAAGAACAACCAATCAGGGGCTTCCATGGTGGCGCA